AATGATTATCCTAATTATATTTTAATTTTTTTATATTTTAAATGAGATATTTATCTTGTATTTGATTATGTTTATCTGCAGTTAGTTACATAAGTTTAGATACGAAGCTTTAGTAAATTGTACTTACGCACAATCTACTTGTAATATTAAGTTTTAAGTAACATGCATTAATAAACAGTACTTTATGCATAAAAAGTGGTTTTTAAAATTTTTTGTCAAATATTTTATAATATAGTATAAATATAGATTAAATGAATTATGTTATTCGTTAAATTTTTTTATAATTTTTTTGTATTTATTACTTATTCATTTGACTTATTAAAGACTAATTTGGTCTTCTATTTATTTGTATTCGTAACACCAAAATTATCAATAAACAACATATAAAAAGATATACCACTTTAACAAAACATTTTAAGACTCAAGAATATATCATCTGATTGATAAAGCAAACGATTATTAAGGGTGTATATTGTATTAGAGGTTGTTTGTTTACTTCTTAATAGTTCTATTAAGAGGCAACATTTAAATCGTTAAAAAATAAATCTTGTTTGACAAAAAAACAAGTTTGCTTCTTAATGGTTCTAAAACTTTCTAAATGATTTTGTACATGAGCTTCTCTTAACCTTAAGAGCTCCAATTTCATTGTAAACAATTTCCAAACAATTATATTTTTTGCACTATATCATAAAGTCTCTTAATCATTCTGACCACTTAACCATTCTGCACAAAACTATTCAGCAACTGTCAAACAACCCTAAGTTAAAGATACACCATGTATCTTCCATAAATGCTCCACAAGATCCTATCAGAGCATATTAGTATCAACCAAATGTTTGTTAGACATTATTATGTTATAAATGTTTGTAGCATAAAATGAGAAAAAAAGTTAGAATTGAGTACACATTTTTAAAATTTTGAATCTGGATTTTTTTTCTTCCAAAAGAATAATATAAAAAAGTGTTATTGTAATGCTTATGTTTAGCGTTGTTTACTGAACGCTGACAAATTATTTATCTTACCGAGTAAACATATTAATGCTTATGAATCTTACTCAGCAAAGAACATGGTAATGACCGAAAATCTTAAACAATGAATAAAGATGATGACTTTACCCGATTGACATTTAACAAGTAAAAGACGTTTACCAACAATTTTATTATGTTATTTTACTAAACAAGAATTTTACCCAATAAAATAAACAAGATTTTACACGGTAAAAGTTTATTTAGTCAATGCTAAACAATCTCGTAAAATATCACGTCCAGAAAATACTAGCAATCTTTAGGTTTTTGACAATTAATCGGACGTAAACATTTACCATTTTTTTTACAATTAATTTAATTTAATATATACTTTCCTTAGATAATTCACAGCAAAAACTCAGCTGCAAATTTCCAACAAAGTAAAAACATGATCATCCGATGCCAAGCTCCTTCCTCATTTCTTGATTAATGTGCCCCAAAAACACACACATCCTTTCTGCGTGTATAGAAATCCCTATTTTTTCCTTTCTGCGTGTATAAAAATCTTTATTGGTATCTTATGGTTGTCTTCTTGCTACCTCTACGGACAAACCCAGAAATTTTGGGTAAGAAATCGCCGATCACCATTGATTTCAGCATTTGGGTATTTGTGCTTTTAGTAGTGTGTGCTTTTCTTGCCCCCTTTGGGTTCTTCGACTCTTTCTCCTATCCATAGCTCATGAATTTTACCCTTTCAAGAAAGACCCATAAATTATCTGTTTCTTTTCCCCTTTTTTTACTGTTCGTCACAGAGATTCACGGTAGGTAAGTAGGTAATTGCAGAGGGTGTGGGTTCAAATCTCATTTGAGGTGGTTTTTGCAAAAGGGTCCTCGTTAAATAAGAAGAAAGCCTAAAAGGGTTTGTAATGGTGGCAACTGATGAAGGTTTTGCATTGAAAAGTAAACAAGACAAGTGGCCTTCTCTGCTGACACGGCAATGGTTCTTAGTGTCTTCTCTCTCTACTATTTCATCTCTCCATCCAATCTCTCTCTGTATATATAGAGACATATATACTTACATATCTCCACCATCACCTTTCCCTAATCCACCGTCAACTATTTTGGAAAGAAATCCTATTCAAGTTCTCAATTTCCTTTCTTGGGTCGTTGAGATCTTTCTCCATTTGGGCTGATTCCGTAAGCCAATTTGCAATCTTTTACGTTTTGGTATGTGAATTCCAATCATGGGTAGTTCTTTCTGCTATAAATCTGTATATAGATCTGACCCTTTTTCTTGTTGTAGCTTCCTTAAGTGTTAATTCTTGCTGTTGGTTTTTGAATATGGCTTCAATTCTTCGGTTTCGAAAGTTGTGTTATATTGAGCCAACATTGAGAAGCTGTGAACCATTTGATGAGAAACCAAAAGTCGACAGCAAAGAAGAAAAAAGTGAAACAATTGAAGAACAAGTGTGTGATAAGAACAAGAGGCAGGCAAGAGGAGGATGGAGGTGTTTAGACTCTTGTTTTTGGTTCATAGGGTGTATGGTTACAACTTGGTGGCTACTGTTGTTTCTGCACCATTGTTTACCTGCAAATTTGGCCTTTAAAGGCCCTGAATCACCTGGTGTAAGGCTCAAGAAGGAAGGGTTAACCCCACTTCACCCTGTTGTTTTAGTCCCTGGGATTGTTACTGGTGGTCTTGAGCTTTGGGAAGGAAAGCCTTGTTCCGAAGGGCTTTTTCGCAAGCGGCTATGGGGCGGTAGCTTTACCGAAATCCTTAAAAGGTTTGACCACTTTTGAAACCTTAAATTGCTGACATTGCTAAGTAACTAGCTTAAGAAGCTTGGATTTGCCTGCATTACTAATTTTCTTGCTATCCTTCCTAAGGGCCTCTTTGTTAGCAGCTTAATGAGCTTAATTTGGACTTGCAACTTATTCAGTCATACATAGCTAGCTATGCATGACTCTTTGGTAGTGGTTTAATGATACTGTTTGGTAGTGGCTTAATGGCTTATTCATTAAGCTTTTAGGGGACCTTTATGCAGAAAGACAGTTTTTTCCAAACCTCTCTCTTCCAATAAAAAAAGACGTCCCTTCCACATGAAAAAACCCTTCCAAAACTCAATTAATTTATACATATAGCTTTATCAATAGAGGACTTAATGGAAAACCAACCAAACAGCCCCTAAATTCATATCTAATTGATATCTTCATGGCCCAATCATTGTAACCAAACCAAATGTACTAAGTATATCTCACTCGAACATTGGTAGGAGGTAGGATGCACAGTTGTTTCCATGTAGACGCGGATTGGTTCTCAACCAACCAATGTAATGATGTATGTACCAAAGTTGGGACATGGTCTAGCATGCCAGAATTTGTGCAACGCTATAGATTCTGATTTTGTAGTAATGATAAAATGCTAAATTAGGGTTGAAGTTTTTGAGAACTTATTTGTGTAAAGTGTCAATTTTAGGCCATTGTGTTGGTTGGAGCATTTGTCACTGGACAATGAAACAGGGCTTGACCCACCAGGCATCCGGCTGAGGCCGGTTCCAGGACTGGTTGCAGCCGATTATTTCGCTCCTGGCTACTTTGTTTGGGCTGTTCTTATCGAGAATTTGGCTCGAATTGGCTATGAAGGGAAGAACATGTATATGGCTGCTTATGACTGGAGACTTTCCTTTCAAAACACTGAGGTATGGAACTCTGCAAACCATGAATACCCCATTAAGCTTATGAATGTTTGTGTGAATTCGTTTGTTTCTTCTACTCAGATTATTTGTTTTTCTTTTTCGGGTTATTTAGAATCTTTTATGAAAGCAGGTAAGGGACCAATCACTCAGTAGATTGAAGATCAACATTGAACTCATGTATGTAACTAATGGTAACAAGAAAGTGGTGGTGGTTCCTCATTCTATGGGGGTTATCTACTTCCTACACTTTCTTAACTGGGTGGAAGCTCCTCCCCCGATGGGCGGTGGCGGCGGTCCAGGGTGGTGTGCCAAGCATATCAAAGCAATCATGAACATCGGTCCAGCGTTTCTTGGCGTTCCAAAAGCGGTCAGTGGTATGCTGTCTGCTGAAGGAAAAGATGTAGCTTTTATCAGGTTAATTCCAAGATTTGAAAAATCATAACTTCGACCTAAAAAGTCAAAACTGTATCTCCAAATGGTCTGTATTCTGCAAGTATATTGGTTCATTTAGTTGATCTTTCAGGGCTGTGGCTCCTGGTCTGTTGGATTCAGAGATTCTTGGGCTCCAAACTCTGGAACACATGATGCGTGTATCTCGAACGTGGGACTCTGTGGTTTCTTTGCTACCGAAAGGAGGAGACATGATATGGGGAGACTTAGATTCATCCCCTGAAGAMGGGCACAAGTGTGACTTGGAGACCAAAAGTTACTTTCAAATGAATTCGAGGGAGAATAACAGCAAAAATGAAGATACGAGACCTGCGCTCCATATGAACCAGCAAACAAATTATGGAAGAATGATCTCATTTGGAAAGACAGCTTCTGAACAACATTCTTCAAAGCTTCCTACAATTGCTCCAAAGGTATACCCTTCTCTAATCAAAAGGTCCTGAGTGATTACGATAAAAATCAGCTTTTATAGGACGCATAAACTGTGTAAATGTCCTAATAGATGGCTTTATAGGACCAAACAATTGTGTGTTCCATCTAAATTTATAGGACCAAACAACTGTGCATTCTATCTAAATTAATGTGCATTCTATCTAAATTTATAGGACCAAACAACTGTGCATTATATCTAAATTTATAGGACCAAACAATTGTGCGTTTTATCTAAATTTATAGGACCAAACAACTGTGCGTTCTATCTAAATTTATAGGACCAAACAATTGTGCGTTTTATCTAAATGTGTTACAATAAGTTGATAGGGCGCTTTTGGACATCCTAACAAGTTCAAACCATGGTTGTCTCTTTATCTTATTGACGGTTGTTGATTCTTGAGGATCGGTATTTGGTCATGATTTATAGGAACTGATGCATGCAAACAGAGTCTTGAATTCAAGTGCAACTTGTGGCGAGGTTTGGACCGAGTACGGGAAGATTAGCCGCAAAAGCATTCAGGGACTGGCGGATAACAAAGCGTACACGGCTGGAACGTTGATCGATCTTCTGCGGTATGTGGCTCCAAAGATGATGCAACGAGCCGAGGTTCACTTCTCTCATGGCTTAGCAGCGGATCTTGAAGATCCGAAATACACCCATTACAAGTACTGGTCAAACCCGTTAGAGACCAAGTAAGTGGATTAGTATCCTCTGCGACTCTTTACCCATTTTCTCGAGTTTTCAAATTAATCCTGGTTTGTTCGAAAATGTGTGTGTGTGCAGGCTGCCTGATGCTCCGGATATGGAGATTTACTGTTTGTATGGAGTCGGGATCCCGACGGAAAGATCCTACGTCTATAAACTCTCCCCGTCAGACAAATGCAACAGTATTCCCTTCAGGATCGATAGCTCGGCAGGGGGGAAAGGTGATCGAGGATGCTTACGAGGAGGAGTATACTTTGTTGATGGTGATGAAAGCATACCGGTTTTAAGTGCAGGTTTCATGTGTGCGAAAGGGTGGAGGGGGAAAACGAGGTTTAATCCATCAGGGAGTGCAACTTATATACGAGAGTACCGACACAAACCACCGGCAAGTCTGCTGGAGGGGCGGGGGGCAGAAAGCGGGGCGCATGTCGATATAATGGGAAACGTTGCATTGATCGAGGATATCTTGAGGGTGGCTGCAGGTGCCTCCGGGGCGGAGGTGGGCGGTGATCGTATCTATTCCGATATATTGAAGATGTCAGATAGAGTAAACATAAAGCTATAGATACAAGTTTTCCAGAAGAAAAGGGCCACCAGGAACCACCAAGGTTGGGAGGGAGTGAGTGGTAAGGGTGATGACTATGAGCATGAGGGATGGTAACCAAGAAAGAACAAGAAAATGCATCATTAAATCTATCAACAGATGGTTGTGTCTCCAAAATTTGCTTCAGCCTCGAACGTGTTTAGATTAAGTCGTTCTTGTACATACCATCTTTTATGCAATAAACTAATTTAGGTTGTTGAAAAAGGCAAATCTAAGTTTTTTGCTATAAGGTGGATCCATCAAAGGCCCGTGAAGTTGCTCAATTTCGGCCAAAATTTGTTTTTAGCCGAATTCTGCCAAGGAATTTTCAAGTTTTCTAGAATTTTCCAGGTTTTTTGTTTATTTTTGAGACTTTTTTTTAATTTTTTGGTTGACGTTCCTTGTATTTTTAAGTTTTTTTTCTTAATTTCGAGAGAATTTCCAGGATTTTCTGGTTGGTTGATTTCAGGGGTCTTTTTCGGTTTCTCGATTGATGTCCCATGTATTTTATAATATCCCGGAGCATCCCTTAAAGTTTGGGGTGGGCTCCTTTCATGAATCATCGCAGGAATGGAAAGAGCCCGTGTCGATCTTTCAATCAACAACTTTTCAACAAGTTTCATAGAAGCATTGCCAAAATATGAATTACCAAAGAAAAGCACAAGGTAAACCTACAGATTGATGATCCTAAATAAGCAAAGAGATTTGGTATCAAACCATGTTCTGTGATGAACCTTTCACGCCTTCAATCGTCAAACTCGATCCGAAATCACTGCCAGTTCATAAGCAAGCTAGGGAATTAGTTGCAATTTACACAAGAAGAAAGAAAAAATAACTCTTCTCAATAGTTGTATCATGTGAAACAATGATATTTGTTTGGCATCTTTTAATCACATGCAAGAAAGAAAGTATGGAGTAGCAAGATGCTTACTTGCTATATTTTTTACAGCAGTCCTTCAATCGATCAAGATCTCGTTCATTAACCGGATACTCCAACATCAAATTGCTAGGGCTAACCCGATCCTTTAAGCCCAGCCATTGACTTACCATACAATTGATCCTTTTCAACTATACCAAATGATTAAGGGAAACATTCAAGAAACAAGAGTAGACAATTTGACTTTTGAGGTCAAAAACAATAATTTCCAGTTTCAACTTTTGATGGTTCCTTTGTTATCCATTCTCCCTATTGTCACATCCATCTTCATTTCTCAAAGGGACCCAATAGGGTTCACGAAATGAAAATATCAAATGACTAAAACGAACTGGACGTGAACTTGGAAAGTAAGAAGTTGACCTCAAACGTCAACTTTGCAACAGAATCAGTATTGAGCAGAAAGGAAAAGTTTCTTGATCGATGTTGTAAAGGATACAGCTGCAGTTCTTATAAGTAGGGTTCTGCCAGATGCAGTAGCATTTTCTTGATCTTTATTTGAAGCAGCTAACTGGTGATCAAGAAGCTCTTCCTCTATTAAATCGGATTTGCTCGCTAGAATTGATATATATTGATGGAGATTTGATGGGCTTATCTCTCCTTGAACATGAGACAATGATCTTGAAATTATGTCCCATAGTGCATTTCTGGCTTCTATATCATCCGAAGCAAAAGGGAAGATATCCAGGAGCCCCTGTAAGAAAAGCAGATCTGGATGTATCTAAAGTGTCACCGTTAATTCAATTTAAGGTTGACAATGACTAAACTATGTGGAGAAAAGCGGAATTTGCAACTAATTCGCTGACTAGCTTATGAAATGGTAGTTACTAGGATCTTTGAAGTGGTTCGTTTGACCTCAAAATTCTTCTCTAACAAGTAACATAACAAACTTTACCTTTATTTATCTCTAAAATCAGATCATCGGTATCGCTCAGAAGATTGGCAATCAGAACAGCAGCAGTAACACATGAGGTGGCCACCTGCCTTGCCGAAAAAATTTATAATAGTTAATATTCACTACACATTCGGTATTTTGAATCTGGGAAGTATTAGGTTGAACTTCCAAATTCAAAAGTTATCTTAATTGGCAGAGAGGAATTATCTTTTTTTTTTCCTGATTTTAATCTTTTTGTTCTTTACAGTGTCAATATAATGTTCAAAAGCTACCATGTGTGCAACAGGTAGCCATCGCGTGATGTCAGATGAACTCGTGCATCTTAAGTATAATATTCCTAACTCATTATCAATTTTGACAGTAGCATTAAAGAAACTTGCCGCTTTACATACCTCAATTTTATCAGCAAGTTTTATCAGAGTTCCAAGTAGATGAAGAAGTTTCTTACTGGAACAAAGTTCTTGGGAACAATTGTCCATTATAGTGAGGGATTCAATAGCCCGGAGAATAATATCAAGAACAGGGTACCTGATACAACATTCACTTTTGACAATCAGACACAAATAAAACAGATTGCAAACCAATTAAAGAATAACATTGCTATCTAGCACCATGTCTAAGATAATGAAAATGAATTTTGTTTCTTTTCCAATATTGAAGTTGCAAAGAATCTTCCAGCATAAGGTTCTAATTACATATTGCCTCAGACCCCTTCCAACCCAATTTTATTCATTTTCTTTTTTTCTTTGGAGGATTTTTTTTTTGGGGGGCGGGGGGGAGGTACTTGTAGTATATTAATGCCTACTCTCCTAAAATATTTACATGGCACCCCGATGGCATATTCAATACTTTTTCGCTTCAGGACCTTATTCAGCCAGGTAACTTCATGTACATGTTATTTTCTTTCCTTCTATTTTTTCATCCATTTGTTCAATTTCTCATTTTCATTTTGTGGATCAGGTTCCCATGATGAGGATAATTTGAGATGAGACACACATAATTAAGGAAAATGGGCTAAAAGATAATTTTATTCTCCATAAATAAATCTAAATCAAGACAGATTCTACGCCATTGGAATATTGGCTATCAATAATGGGAATTTTTTTACCAAAAGGTCAGTGGCCCAGCAGTATCAAGTTACCGATAGAGCCAAGCTTTCCAGGAGGTCAAGGGTTCAAATCTCACCGAATATCAGGAATGCGTGTACGTATTTGCCAATTGACATATATAAATATTATATACTTAAACAAAGGGAATCTTTTTTTATCAGTTATAAGTTAAAATACAAATAATTCTAATCACTATGAAATTACTAGTTTATTGTTTTCTGAACTTGATATTTACACCAGAAGGTGTTTAACAATATCAACACCAGTAAAGATAATTGACAAGTCAGCCATTAGAAAAGACAGAAAGGCCTACCTTTCAGGTAATCGTTCGTCTCCCACCAGTTTGCTGATCTCAAAGGCCAAGAGGTTAATCAGAATAATGGGAAGACCTAACTTCACCAAGTGTGGGAGAAGAATAGTTCTTACTTCATCCTGACTTTCTGATATAGTTAACAGAAATCCTACACTCTTTAAAAAAATATCTGTTGGATATCTTGGAAATTCATCATAACGAAAATACCAAAACAAATAAATCACCAAAGATGCTACCTTTTCTATAAGCTGCGGATTCAATGTATTTTCTACAACCCATAATATACGGGATAGAACGTTCTCAGGCTGCAGGACATGAGCCCAAGTTATACCTTCACTGCCTTGGAGACATAAAGTTAACAACCTATTGGAGAACATGGAAAACTGTATATTAGATCAATATTTGATGATGCCCGAGTATTTAATAATAGCATTCAATTTTGGGCATACATTAAGAAAAGTGCAAGAACTTCAAGCAATTATTGGCTTGAAACATCAATCAAGACCAAGAAAGATGACAATTTTTCATTTGCCAAGTTTTGAATCACTCGCAATGGAAAAGATGGATAATAAAAATTGACCGGTAGCAGTTTCTTCTTTTGGTAGAACTTATTCCTCTTCGTTTCAGCACACTAATATTCTTTCTACGTATCATCATTGCACATGGTGAAAGTGGATGGACCAGAATTTTTTTGCTCACTGCTTCATTTCAAGTAGAACTATATAAGCGTATAATCACTTTCGCATGTCATTCATGCATAAACTGCTGTGATGATTATAAATAATTGCATGTATTTTCCATTACAACCAATATTGAAAGTCTGATTTTTTTGGAAAGAAGTTACCTGAATTCTTCACACAGGCATGGAGTGTCATCTACAAATAACTGATCCACAATTACTTCAACCAATCCATTTACAGAGGCAATTTCTTTACGTGATACTTCAAAGCAAGCAAGGTTCCCAATAAGTCCAAGGCTAATCTCCTGCAAAATTAAATCGAAGGTGAGAAACTTAAGTCTATTGGTTATGTAATTTTCTGCAGATAAAAATCATTTGAGAACATTGAACATGTTAGGAGCTATTTGATATTTGCACAATAAATTTATAAAAAGAATGACTCAAACAAAGCAAAATAGTTGACAAATAATATGAAGTATAATTAGGCAACAAAAGGAAATGTAACCTACCGTGACACGAGGTGACTGGGAAATCATTAGAGTAGCTAAAATAACTTCAAGAACCAGATTTTGAACCTGCATGCGAGTTTTAAACCAAGCAATGATGTTGGTATAGCAGCGAATGGAAGTGCCAGTGATTAAAACAGAAGCGAACACTTCACCATACCAACAAATACATGTGAACATTAGTCATTTACAGCAATGCGTGTACACATCTAGGTAAATAAAAGTAGATCATGGTCCGTCCTGTTATGTGCCCATCATTAATTATTGATATGATATTTCGTCCCCATGTCTGTTTTCCTCCCCAAAATTTCCCCGATAGATTCAAGGAATTTTAATGCGTTAGTCCTCAAAACTTATTATCTGCAGAAGCAAAGCAAAATTGAACTTTTTCCAAAAAAAAATAAGCAAAATTGAAGCTGAAAAGATTAAAATAATCTACAAATTTTATTAAGAGCATCTATAACCAAATGCTACAGTTACTATGTGAGGAGCAGGACAGAAAGAGAGACCCCCCAAAACCAAGAAAAGAGTGCTAACATCTGATACATGTGTCCTTCATGTAGAATGAGAACTGTTAAAATATTCATACTTGCCCCACCTAAAGATGTCATTTCTATACTTAAAAGTTGTGAAGAGGTTTCAAGTATCTCTCGTTAAGGAAAGACTGAATTATCCTTCAGTGTCTTTGTTGTCTTCTGGTGTTTTTTGTGCATCATTAGTTCTTCCGAATTTATGGAAAATAGCCCGGCAACTTTAAATTATAAGTTCAAGATGGTACTCCTCAATATGCTTTCTAACTCCATCCATGAAACAGAAAGAATACTATAAACACCGATAGATTTTAGTTACAGCAAAATGGATAATAAGAACTTGTGTAGCAGAACAGTCAGGTACCATGAGTTCAGCATGGGTTCTGCTTGTTGCCAGATCCCATAATATGCATCCATGTTCTTCCCAAGAATCATCTCCAACTGCGGGACCCACCTGCTTTTCTCGATCATTAGAATTGTCATCCGTTCCTTCCTGCTCATTTGAGCGGTCAATCTGATCAATGAAGTCCATGGTGTCATGTTTGTTTTCCGAAATTTGATCTTCAGCTTGTGATACCAAGCTTCCATTTGTTCTTACATCATTTGTTCCTTGAGAAGCAAAATCACAGCCACTAACCCTGTCAGAAGTACTAGCGGCATTCATGGTCGGTGGTAGAAGCTTCCTTATCAAGGATATAACATAACTAGGATCAACTGTGGTTGAGATGTCAAATAACTGCGCGACACAACAATAAGTTCAGCATACATCATATAAAATACACCAGTTGTTTGGTTCTAACACTAGAGATACGACCCAATTACTTCAAAATTGATATACTTTGTTACAATTTTAATATCAATGTTTTCTCAATTTCTATTATTTGCTAAAACGATTAAATGTAGAAATCAATTTGTTCTAAAAAGTTTAAAAAAAATTCTCAGTTAAAAGTTCAAAATTAGCACCTGTCAACTCAAGAGTCCCACTTTGTAGCTAAGGGATGAAGGGACTAGTAGTTAAGAGGTGCAGTATAAATAGCTACTACATCCTTTTACACTTCCATGTGCAGATTATTTATTAGCACATACAGGTTGTATCATTAGTACTAATATGGTCAATATGAAAATAAACAAATTTAGAAAAAAGCATAAACAACCCCTGCTCTCAGAAGAAGGGCACACCAGACTTTTTTAGTGTCAAATGGTTACTTTGGAACTTCAAAATAAAAAAGAATCATTCCAGTGGTGGAAAGTTTTTGATAATTAAATTACCACGAAGAGCTTAGGAGCTAAACCCAAAAATTTCTGTCAGATAATAGAAGTACTAGATTCAAATTTGAAGTCGATGGCAACTCTAATTATGGAATAGGAGAAAAGCCAGAGAAACTTCGGCTACATAGGTGAGAAATCTTGTTTTATGAAAGTCCATATAACATAGGCACTCATAGATGTGCAGAAGTGTTCGTTACTGGAAAGGCAAATAATGAACAAACAGTATGCACGGATAAATAGCATGCTACCTCAGTTCTTAAAGAGAAAGATGTTGGTGATTTTAGTGTCAGCAGCTATTTAAGTGTAATTGGATTAACACAGTGCCAATGGGTTTCAAATTGTTATCTAATACAAGTTAGGTGGTACGGATTGCACACTTGTATATAAGACGAGTTTGATTCTAGATATGACAAAATGGCGGGGGTCAAGGTAGCCGCTCCCCCTTGTGGGGTCCAGGGGCAGCGCCCCTGGCGGTGGTCAGACTTAGTAGAATTGACTAAGTGTTCTTCAGACTTGGACTATCTCTGGTTGGTAAGTCTAGAGATAGCACTCTCTCTGGTTAGTCTAAGGACCGTCTCTGGTTGGTAAGACCAGATATAGCACTATCTCTGGTTGATCTAACGATCATCTCTGGAATGTCCATCTCTGTACATATACGTCCAGAGCTCTGGATCTGCACGTTTTTCTTGATCAAATCCATTAATGGTTACAACCGTTTGTAACTTATTCTAACTTCCCAAAAACCATCATTTTGTTAATCTTTCAAATAGAACAAGTATATATATATGAGATATGCATCATTTTTGGGGACTCGCTTGGATCTGAACATTCTAATATTCTCTAGCAATTTGACTTCCGTTTTTGTGCCTAAATTCGAAAGTGTCCTTAAGAATTATCCTAGATTGAATTTCGTGATACCGGGCATAAGGTCGAAAAATCAATTCGGAAAGTGAACTTACAGGATCCTTAAACAATCCAGATTCCAATTACCATTTACCCTATAATCCTAATTATTTTAACAAAAGATACATTTAGCCTTTCTGGTTTATCTAGTGACATTAAGTTAATAACCAAGACAAAGTAATAGCAATTGCCGGCGCGTTCAGCAATGTTAGCATCAACGATTTGTTAGTATCCACAATCTCTGTAGGATTTTTATTATATCTCTCATGGATTACATTCGAGCATGAAAACAATTCACCGTGGTTCCTTTTACGACAGGAACCAAAGCGAACAGGATGAATAGGAAAAAATGTCATTCTATTAACATAATACCCAATGGCCTCCGGACATAGTACATTCTTAATCACCCTCAATATCCAACACTTGTCAAATGCAATCTTAATCCACAGCAGCTCTAAACACCGAAGGCTTTTCTATTGTGGGTGCTTGCTATAACTTCAACGTAATTCCCAAGTTTTTTTTCTGGAAAGGGATAATATCCATATCGACTTAGTAGCTCAAGAGAAAAGTGTTCCTTTTTTACGTAAGAAGAGAAAGAATTTATCGTTAACAGATAATAGAAAACCAAACATTCGTACATCATATAAAATTTTGAACCATTTTTTTCGTGTCAGTGCCCAAAACATGTACCTATCCCTTGATTGTTTGTGAATTAATTTGCTCAAGGACATTCATATAAACTGTAAGCCCAAACAACCATCAGTACCATATAACAATCAAATTCTGCACTTCCTGTTCGTTTTCTTTCGCGAAATATCCTTTTTCATCAAACGCAATTGAGTTCATATACATTTAATTATGCATTTGTACGCGTAGCAAGGGTGTTTACCTCGTCGGCGGGAGCAGGAGGGTGGTACGCTGGCTGTTGGATTCCTATTTCTTCTTCTTCTTCGTTCACTGACTGCGATTGTATCGACATATTTTTTGGGTTCAGGCTTTGGGGTTTTGAAAAAGGGCTCGCTGCTACTCCTCCTTTTCGAAATGACGAAGCTCGGAAGAAGTGTCTAATTAAACTCATTAATTCAGAGGAAAATAGTATATTATAAAATATCAAACAAATTTTTTTTTAAAAACTATTTTTAATGTATAAAATACTGTTATTGTGTACATTACTTAAAATTATAAGTAAATTATACTTAATTACAAATTATTAAAGTTTTATGTTTGAATTTCTGCAACTAACTGTAGATAAATATAATCAAATTAATAAAAATAATTTTTGAGTTCTAACAAAATACTTAATTATTATCTTTATAAAAATTTATATTATTAAATTAAAATAAATTACTTTGTTATTAACTTTAAATTAAATTATAATAAAAAGAAATTACACAAGAGAACGAGAACTTTTAAATAGTTAATTTGATACTAATTTCGATGTATTTTTTTCAAATTTTTATGATATCTTAAAGTCTATATTTTATTCAAAAATAAAAACATTATCGTTTTTTCAAAAGCACATAAAACCGTATTATATTATGAAGACAGAGAATAAAACAAAATATTATAATCGAGATGTATTTCGTTATATTACACCTATTCCCTTCTAATATTCATAAAATATTTGATCTCTATGTTTTATTTACCAAACCGTAAAAAGCTAAAACTTTTTTATTTTATGCATTTTTAACCTCTAATTAATACATAATTTATCAGATTATAGTTTGATTATCTTTTACTAAAACCTTAAAAAATTAAATCATATCTTTTTAAATTCTTCAAGATTGAAAATTAGTTTATTAAATAAAAGGATAAGATTTATTTTTCAAAACCTTATTACGAAGAAAATATAAAAAAAATGAATGTTTTTTTATTCTTTAATTCTTAAATAAAAAACTTAGAAAGGAGAAATAATATTTTATATTAAATATTTTAATAATATATTAATAATGTAATTTTTAAAATAGAAAAAAGATAAAACATAAATATTTTCAAAAGATTTTTGAATTTTGTTTGGTTTTTAATATTCTGTCCCGAAGCCAACTAATCGTTTGTTTGTAAAAGGAAAGTGGTGAAATATAAGGAGATGCCGTGGATAAAATCGACGTGGACACAAGAAAACCACCAGAAAACCAACTGTCATCCTCATCCCCCTCACGAGCTCATAATCACCACAACCACACCAAAATATTTTCATACAAATTTCCATTCCCAAAAATGCTGATGAAATCCTCTACTCGATCAGCTCAGATTCCAACAAACTAAAATGGCCTTAACAACTCCAATTTCTTCATCTTCACAGTTGTTTCAGTTACCGGTAGTTCATCCGCCCTCTCCCTCGCCGCACATCCCGTTTTTTATTCGGTCAAAATGTCAAGTGATCGCTCTTCGGAACACCGGTGATTCTGTGTTTCCGGTTCCACTACTGAAGGTCTTGTCGACTGGTAGGTTCAATTGTTGTACAAAATCCACACAGGAGAGAGCGGCGGATACGTTAACAAGTGATAATGATGATGATTCCCGTGAAGAGACTCATCGGAGTTCCGATGATACGGAGAAGGTGGAGGACGGTGGTTCTCGGAGGAATGTGTCGTCTATGTCTGATGCTCTAAACCTGGGGATTCGTGAACCGATTTATGAGGTTTGCTAGGCTTTCGAGATACTATGCCTTTTAGGAATTTATGCAGTTTCCTTCTTTACTCGAAAATTTTACTCGTAGATCAGGGTTCTTGCTGGAAAAGATTTATTAGTAACATTAAAATTTCTGATCCAAGTTTTATGGATGTTTCAGCAGCATTCAAAGAAACCGTCTTAAGGTTTCATGTGACTATTTATAGTTTGCAACTTGAGTCATATAAATTTATTTTGATAATTTTTTATCATAAATTTATTGAAAATTTTCTAATATGTTCTTGTAATATCTATTTCTCTTTAAAGGTTGTAGAAGTAAGTTCAAGTGGGATGGTGTCGACTAGAAAAATTAATAGACGGCATCTACTAAAATCAAGTGGTGAGTGTAATGTTCTGATAACATAATGATCTGATCTCTGTAGAGCTTACTTATGCTATTCTGCTGCACAAAGTTTTAACTGCTACTTGCACTTTCTGTTTCTATCTAGCACTTTATGATGAGCCCATGTGACTTCTCACAAATCCCTGATGATCCAGCTGCTTTCATAGGCACATGCATGCTTATCCTAATTGCATTTTTTTTTCCTTTTTAATCCTTGTGGTTTTCCTGTTGATACATTCATAACAACTGAGTTGAGATTATCGGGGTTACTTTATCTGCATTGCCAATTCTTAAATGAGGTTTTTCATAGCAGGTCTTCGCCCTAGAGACATTCGGAGTGTTGATCCTGCACTGTGGTTGACCAACACAATGCCCTCATTGCTGGTATGGCACCAAGTCAAGTTACTGTTTATGGTGTTTTAGTTCATGCTTATGAAATTCAAAAATCTTGGAGCCACTTTCTTGGCATTGATCTCCACTCCAGGATGTTCTATAGATTGCTGTATCTTGTTATTTGGTGATATGTTTTTTTTGTTGGTTGCATGCTTTGGGGGTATATAAATACATTTAAGGACAAACAAAGACGGCATGTATCATCCCCTGAAGAGTTTCTGTTTTATTTGTAGATCATTTAAAATTGCTTGATGGGAATAATTTTTTTAAACATCATTGTGAAAGTATAATCTTTCCATGTAATCTGTTGGCAAACACCAAATGTTGGATACACCAAGTGTCACCTTCCTGTCTTCTGTTCTGCACTTGTTTTCCTTCGTTTCACCATATCAGAAAAACCAGTGACTAAACTGCATCTTTATGTTGGAGTAACATTGTGAATGGCTTGTAATTTCATTTTGGAATAATCAGAGGCTCAAGAAATATTTCCTATTAATTTTTATTTAGAAAAAGCATTGTTAGCTATATTGAACAAGCTTGACATTTTATAGGAGCCCATTGCTAATTCTTGTTGCTGTTCCTTTAATTAATGGAGCTGATGCGGGCGCTTTCCATACTTGTTAGTTCTTTTTACCACTTATGGGACATAAACACTTGATTGATGGACAAAGTTCATATACGGAATTTTGGTTTGTTTACAGGTTCGTGAGAATGCCATACTATTGAATTTGGGCTCACTGCGGGCAATTGCAATGCAAGAAAGTGTCTTTATATTTAATTACAACCGGTAAGTATTGTATGTGAATATCTTTTTCCTTTTCCAACTCAATCCTTTTCTATTTCATGTTGGATCGAAGTTGCTGGGGAGGAGGGGAAAAGGCTAGTTAACAGGCGTTTTTCTTTTCTGGTTTATTTGTTGGGTATCTTAGGAGAGCAGGGAAAGCTTTTATCGACGCATTATTACCTCGCTTAAATCCCAAAAGCGTGCACGGAGGTCCTGTAATGCCATTTGAACTTGAGGTTGGTTCTAGCCTATCTTATTCTTCTGGGTTATTTTTTTAAAGGCTTTTTTCAGGGTTATCAGTAATGTAACAAGTTTGTGCCTGCTCTTCTGAAAACAAATTACATGGCTTGAAGCTGTCATGACTATCATGAGCAGTCCTGCATTATCATCTCTCACCATGCTTGTAAATTTCCAGGCATAGATGTAGTCTAAAAGGGAAAATGAGAATAAATTTCAAATGTCTTTGCTAAAATGAACGATGAAAAGACGAACTTTTGTTGTTACACCAGTATCTCGAGCAAAACATAAAAAAACAATGTTGAGAAAAACTAGTTGCAAGCTTAAATTTATTGAAACAAATGGAATGCTTGTGTGACTGTGTAAGAGTTAAGAATAGAATGACACCACCCAGTGCATCCTGTATGTGTTACTTCTGGTTCCCCTTCCTTCTCTGGCTTCTTAACTCATTTCCCCTGTTCTCTTTTATTTATCCTTTCATTTAATTCTTTCCCAGTTTGAGAAGTTTTTAAGATCTCCACTAAATAACAATTCACATCTCTTCTGGAGTCCTCTGACCAAAAACGTTCATAGGTCAAGAGATACCGTTGCCTTTAGAGCTTGAATTTTTCTAAGTTTTGTTCATTTGGTGAGTAGGGTTCTTTTAAGTAGCTTTCTATAATTTTGTTTTTTAAAGTATCATCTGTAAATAAGTTGACACAATTTGTACCTTGAACATGTTATGGAGTGAACTTGTATAATATGCATAATAGAGTAGACTAGTGTGATTATTCCTTAATCTAGGAACCCTATAGGATATACTTCATAATTCTGAGGGATGTAATTTGTACTGTTTTCTTTTGTAAATGTAAGTATACAACCTATAAGCACTTTATAGGTTACATTTCTCCAAATCAATTCTCTACCCTATGTAACAAGTATAGGGCATAAGACTTGGTTATCTGGTTCATTATATATTAGCCGATAGTTTTATTACTTATTAGGGGCCTCCTTATATTGTCAGTGCTGCTTGCTTTCATGTGCTATCATCTTTTACAATCTGTTGAATGTTTACTGCCAAGAGATGCATGCCATTTCTTGTCCTGAGTTATATGATGGGATTTTAGGTCTTGATCTTTGTGATTGTTGATTTCTCCATTTCTTAAATTACCCATGTCTAGATTTGAAATTTACAAGAACTGTCAACTTGATATTTCAGGTAGTTGAAGCCGCCCTACATTCACGAATACAACGCTTTGAGGATAAACTAATGGATTTAGACCCTCGTGTGAGTATGGAAACATAGTGAGTATATATAATTTCCTTTCAGTATACAAGATGGTGATTTTAGTTCAAAATCATACTTACTAAATTCTGGGCAGTAAAGCTCTCTATTAGACTATCAGGAAGAGAGTTGGATTGGCAAGCTACCTGCAACAGCTGTTGTGGGTGCTTTTGGAATAAGTGATGATGACCACCAAGGGTCCTAAGATTTTAACAGAAAACAATTGTGCAAAAAGGATTTACTTATTGCACCATAACTCACCATGTATGATTAAATTATTGCACCATACAAATAATCATTGGTTATAATAAGCATTTTGTTATGCTTCAGGTTCAAGCTTTACTTGAGGTTTTGCCAAACCGATTAACTGCTGGCATATTGGAGCAATTACGTATTAGCAAGCAAACCTTGGTATCATCAGTTATATCACATCAACCTGCCATATACTCGGCTGCATGTGTATGTGAACTGGAAATAAGCAACTCTTGATGTTTTCTCATTGAAGGTTGAATTGGGTTCGAAAGCAGGTGCACTCAAACAGATGTTGTTTGACATACTGGAGGATTCTCATGAAATACGTCGCCTCTGTATTGTGGGCAGAAACTGCATCCTGAGTAGAAATGATGATCTAGAATGCTCTGTCCCACATGAGAAGCAGATTGCTGAGGGTAAGTGTGACATAATTGGAAAAAGCAAATGAATATTATTCTTCAGCATACTAATTTTAGAACTGATTGTCATATGCAGAAGAAGAGGAAGAAATCGAAATGCTACTAGAAAATTATCTTCAAAGGTGATTTTACGGTCCCTGAAGCAATTGAAGGGCTGTGTTTCTCAAATGTGATTTTTGCAGTATGCTTTCTAGCAATGCCCATTCAGACTATACTTTGCCAAGTCTTTATCGATTTTCCTTGTATCGGATTCTTGCAATGGAATTGTCTTTTATCCTGAATGATCTAGATATTGACATTATAGTTGAAAACTTGGAACTTCTGCTCTTTTCCCTAAAGTTTTCATCAAGAACCTGTCCAGATGTTGCTCAATCAATGAGTAAAGCTGTCTGGTTCAGGAGTGCTAACCAAGTTTCGACATACTTGACTCTTCCCCACCTGAGTCTCACCTATTTGGGACATATTTGAGCATGCCATCTTCTATGCAAATTTAATTTCTAACAGTTGATTGTGTCAGAAATCTCCAGAATGGGTCTCTAACCTTTTTATGATCACAGATGTGAATCATGTCATAATCAAGCAGAAAGGCTTCTTGAGTCAGCAAGAGAAATGGAAGACTCAATCTCTGTTAACTTAAGGTTTGCATGAATCTGCTACTACATGTCTTTGAGGTTAACTTTCAACAGAGTTTGAATTGCTGCAATGATCATCCTCAGATTAGTGTTTCGTATTAATAGCGTATGACTTGATATATGTATAAACATGATCTGTTTTCTTATCAGTTCTCGGCGGCTTGAGGTGAGCAGATTTGAATTGCTTCTTCAGGTTGGGACCTTTTGTGTTGCAGTTGGTGCTCTGGTTGCAGGTTAAATCCTATAACATGCTTTCTTTTGAAATGGTCAAAAGAAATTATTAAACTGATTCCATCTTTTGTTTATTTGTAGGTATATTTGGCATGAATCTAAAATCCTATCTCGAAGAACATGTGGTATTTTTCTCGAGTCCTTCTAAAACGTTTTCTTAATGCTAATCATACTTGTTCCATATCTCAAAAATTACAACATCTAAGGAGATTACTTACTTTTACTTTCCCTTTCCCACGAAAATTACAACATTTTCTTATAAGATGTTCCATGATAACTTCAACATTTTTTTAAAAAAATTTCTTCTTGTACAAGTAGTCTTTGCTCCAACAAGTATTAGTTCAGTACCTGGAAACGATAGTTGTAAGTTCAAAATTAATACTTTACCATCTTAGTATACATATAGTTGTTATAATCATACGAGAACTCCATGTATTGTGATTATCGTAAGAACTTTTGTTTCACATGATTTTTTCCTCGTCTAATGCTAGCGATTAATGTAATTATGAACATATATTTGTTTCACAATGTGTTTGCTGCATAGGTATGCGGTTCACAATGTAGAACCTTTTTAAGTGTAACTTTTGTTTCACAAACAAGCTAAAATGGTTCACATTGTGAAACAAATATATGATAATCAATATTCCAAATCCTAGTCTTTGATGAAAAAATATCGTATAATAAGTAATTCTCCGTTTATTGATCTGGTATGCAGTTTGCATTTTGGCTTACAGCTGGAGGGATTATATTTGGCGCGGTGGTGGCATTTTTCCTCATGTACTCGTACCTCAGAGCAAGGAAAATACTTTAGGCTTCACATGAAATACCTACCAAGTTACACTCGAAACCTCAACTTCATCAGATTTTCTAGATTCCAACAAGGAATTACGTGACTACACAAGTAGAAAATACACGTGTAAGGAGGTGGAGGAGATATGCCCTGCTCCATGAGAGCAATCAAATCGATCACTTATTTAGCCTGGATATATCAGTCGCACCGGTTACAGCATATAGGAATTTAGCAAAATGACCTGAGAAGGCATTGTTGATGCTTTGTTCTCATTGACAAATAGGTCAGATGCCATTTGTGAAGTAAATTTTATGTGAGATGATACAGTATTACTAGCATTGTTACTTAAAAAGCATTATCCATCTGTCTATCTTGGTTTACTTTTATGCAACCAAATGCCCAAAAAGGCTTGAGCCCCTCGAAAAACACTAGAGCAGCTCATAATCCAGCTACAAAATCAACTCCAAGAAAGTGGCGTAGTGGTTGAGACCCAAGGGGATGTGGAATATCCCATTTGCCCTAGATTCAATTACAGGAGTCCATCACAATTCTGGCCACCGAACTTATCAAGGTTGATGTCTTACGGTTGCAATGTGCTGGGATTAGTCTGGACATATCCTAGAACATCCTTCCAGAAAAAATACACCAAAAAATCCAATACAAAACTTGTCACTTGTATGAAAGTGTCGCCATGGTTGTTTGTTCATAATTTTCATTCCTCTCATATCATATAAATAGAATCACACAAAAATGCTTACAACTTAGACGAATAGAACATGTGTGGGTGGCAATGGCATCGATGAGGGTCACTATCGCACAGAAAATGAGGACCCAAACTCGCTGTTAATTAATAGGAAAAATGAGACGAAAAAGATTTCGGCAAATTGATAAAATAATAAGGAAAAAAATTCATATCTTAAAATGCATGCTCTCATTTGTTTGGTAGCAAAGAAAATCACGGATCAAATAAGATGTACAAAGGGATCATCACATCAGAGGCAATAGCAATACCATCTCTGGAAGGGAAGATTAGGGAAAGCCCGAATACATAAATCTCCTGCAACAGAAACTTCCGTAAATTGTACAAAGAATATGCGGACTTTAAGAAAATTGGCAATTTTTCCCTTTTCTGGTGATCAGATCCAAGTGATGGTTCCTTTTGCAACAAGCCAGACGGTCAAAAAATGAATTGCTACCGGGGCACTTCATTACTGAAAAGTAGGAAGAGAACGATTAATAAATAAAAAGAAGCATAACATATCTTAATACATAACACTCCCAGCACTTCAGTTATGTTGCAACATTTTGGACAAAAAAGTTGTATTAAGGATCCAAAATTTGATGGGATTTGTCAAGTTCCGAAGAAAACAAGGATCCTGTATTAAATTAAATTAAATGTACGCTACCTATAGCCAAGTTTGGAACACACAGTCGCAACTTTCAAATTTATCCAGTTAGCCACAAAAGTCTAAATGAATTTTATTTGAATACTCACTGCAAACAAGTGATATTCTTCTAAAAATAAAGACACCACAGTTTACAAGAATGAGCAATTTTGGACAAAAAGTGTCAAATATGATGTAAATTATTGCATTTACATTTTCACAAGTTGTCCAAACGTAACTATTCTTGGCAATTTTCCATAAGTACAATAACCAGTTTGCAATGAAAAGCCAAATACTATGGTTCAATAAGTCAATTACTTGTTTATAATATATTGGAAATGAAGTAGTATTATCAAGAAAACAATCAACAGAAGGTTTACCTGTGAAAGTCAGCAAGCTTGTTTTGATGCTGGCTTTGAAACTCCCCCAATAGCTATGTTCCCCACTCCAGCCTCCATAGCTTCCCTCTCATCTTTCTCTTTGGTTTTCTCGGAAGTCTTATTATCATTGGCCTGGGGAGTAGAATTAGCATTAGGACTAAGACCCTGAGGTCCTCCGGTGAACCACGGGTGACTAAGGCATTGAGCAGCTGTAGGTCTTTTCTCAGGAACAAAATCAAGTATAGGAACAAGAAAATCAGCCAACTCAGTTGCATCTTGTTCACTGAACTCGTATTTCTCCTTAAGCACCTTATGCAGAGGCCAAAAACGCAATCGCCTGATATGCCTCAAATCACCATGTCTGTTAAAGAATTCACGAGAGTAACGCCCCCCTAAAGCTATCTGCACAATACAGTTGTCAAGTTATATATAAACCTACATAAAAAGTATCAAAAATTCATATTGAGCCCATCAAATGTTTAAAACGGAAATCAAGTAAAATGGAATGATGAAACTTGTATTTGCTTCAAGCTAGTAAATAGGACCTCACCTTTCGAGGCATCATTCCAAGAAGTTCCATCATTAGGGCCAAGTGATCCTGTAAAGTACACACATAATTTAATAATGACAGGCTTTAGACGAAGAACTAAAGTGAAACATAATTAAAAGGTAACAAAATAGTGATAACGTGTTTTATCAAGAAGATACATCTTTGTTATTATTGATTATATGACAACTTCAGGAAAGAAAAAAGGGAAAACAAAGAAACTATAGCAGCACAATTGATATAGAAGTTGCTGACGATAACCTGAAACATATTTTAAAAAATGACAGAAAGTAGACTCTACACCCACCAGCTAATCATTGACATATTGAACTTTCGGTACTTCATGCATGTTCCTCATTTTTACTATGTTGCATTAAATTTTCCAAGGATTTCAAAAAGAAGGAACGAAGAATAAAACATTGACACATGACAAATTTGAGGAGAGAAAGGTGTAGAAGAACAATAGAAGGAACCAGGGATCCTAAGCTTCACACCTAGAATTACTAGGATCACTTCACAAGGGTGTCAATTGTCGGCGAAGGATCGTGCGAGAAGGGAAGTTATGTTGAGAAGCATAAGAAGAGATATTAACCCTTGATCACTTTTAATCTCATGCCTACCCATGAATTTCGCTTTAGAAGGGAATTGATCCGGTGCATTCTGGTGCACCTAATTAGTGTTGACATTCAATTAGGATTGATCCAAGGGTGGAGATCTCTGCTTAAGCTTCTCACATAAACTTCCCTTCTCACCGGAACCCAACCCATCAATTGTCATCCCAACCATAGTTATTTTTTCACATGATCAAATAGAGAACTCTTAAATTTGGAGATTACACATCTTCATGTAGATGAAAAAGATGCAATTAGAAATGGAACAAGAAAATGATAGAATACTAAAGTAACCTTAATAACTAAAAGAAAGTATATATTGACTAAACTATCCTAACCTCCAACTAACCATAACCAAATACCGGTTGCATGAATTTGTACAAATTGATCATAAGATAAGACTTCATTTGCCCTAGCCCACATGGAAGTATTTCAGGATAAAACAGTTGTTGATTGTTGCACAATGCTGAGGTGCGAAACGACATTGCACCAACCAGGAAGGCAGAAACCTCGATATTTATGTTACAACCAACTTTGAAAAGCCAGGAAGTTCTTCTGAGGGTTTCAAGTTCAGTATACCAGGACCACTGTGTGGACAATTATTCCATATATCTCCCAATATTAAATATAGAAAAGAACTGATGAGAAATTGATGGTTCAGCCAAAAACCAAGTGATAATTGCAGACATCATCCTAACTCTGGACAAACTCTACCCAAACACAATAATAAGTTCTCATGTTAGTCTACCTTCCAAAGACAAAAAAATATTACAACTTCAGTAGAAAGCCGGAAAGGTGAATTCAAGAATCCTCAATATGCCAGGTACCCTTAGAAGTTGATGAGGAGAAGCCTTTGTTTTTGGGATGGTTGTTGTTCGCATGTATAATTAGTAGGACAAAGCCAAAGACCCTTATGCATCTGTGTAGGTACCATATACACATTGATAAGAAAGAAAAATAATTACGTTTTCCGTCCCTGTGGTTATGATATTATGATTTTTATCTTCATGGTTTATAACTCATTATTGTTTTCGTCCTTGTGACTTAAAGTTTATCGCTTTCTTCGGTCTTGTGGTTTACAATCCATTTGTATTTTAGTCCCTCATACTTAAAAGTAGTAGTTAGCCTCAGGGACAAAGATAGAAATGAATTGCAAACCATAGGGACAAAAACTGCAATTTCAAAACCACAGGGACGAAATCCGCAATTTCTAACAAACCACAGGGACGAAAAAATGTAACTAACTCAAGAAATAAAGATCTCCAAGGATTTTGGTGCAAACAAGATGAATAATAGCATAAGACTTGAAGGCCAATAGATGCTGCAAAGTAATAGAAGAATAGAGGCACCTGAACCAGGAATACGACAACAATGTACGAACATCATGTAGCCAAAGCTTTTATGAAGTACAGAAGGTAAAAGAATCTGGTACTGTAAAAGATCTAGCTAGTAGAGAGAAACATATGTCCAAACTTCACATCATGCTGTCGACTGCAGAGAGTGGACCTCCACTAGATTCTAGAAGCCAACAAAGGCACTCTACAATGGAAAGATGATCATAGAGAATAGGGGCTCTAAAAAAACCCACGCAAGACTGACAACAAAGCTAAACAAAATATCAAAATATGGTTGAATTTGTGAGCCACATAACTTCTATGTTGCAGCATTAGTAAGAATATTGAGCATCATATCATGCATACAAATATATGAGGCGTGCAAAAAAACAAGTCATTCTAGATGCAGAGGAAGGATACTATAGAACGCACAACCTGATCACAACAAAAATTGTTCTAGCAAGTAGCAACTATGTGAAACGGAGTGGAACATTTAACTAGAGGAATATACCTCATCCCTGTCATAGTTGTCACCACTATGAGGATCAAAGAGAACATCACCAGTTGCCAGCTCGAAGCATATACATGCAAATGACCATAGATCTGCGGAGGTCGAGTATTTGGATCCTAGTAGAACCTCTGGACACCTGTACTGCCTAGTTTGGATGTCACCAGTAAATTGCTTGTAAGTCCAACATGCGTTGCCAAAATCAACCAACTTGCACTTAACATCAACCTCTGCCAATAATTTCTGCCTTGTCGACCGGCTACCTCTTCCACGAAGTTGATTCCCTTGGCGAGAATCCCTTGCTTCAGAACGATTATTGGAATCATCTTTTACAACCGATGAAGCGGCATGCCCTTCAAAGGAGACCCCATTTGATTTCTCATTGGGACAACAATCAGCACCAGTTGTCTCATTGTTTGCTTCAACTTCCTCAAAATCTTCCTTTCCGGAACCATTTTGGGCAGCCTTCTTAGCCTTTTTTCTGATTTTCTTTTTCTGATTCTTGGTAAGATCCCCATTTGAAATCTTAACATCTTTAGAAGCCCCAGATTCAGCTAAAATGTGATCCTTACTGGAGGAGAGGATTAGGGGTGCACCTGTTTTGGTTCTATCTCTTTCTGGATCAATCATGGACAGAAGTAAAATGTTTTCTGGCTTAAGGTCTGTGTGTATAATAGAAAGCTGGCGATGCAAGTAATCCAACCCCCCTAAAACGTGAAAGCATATTTCCTTAACCTTGTGAAGAGGGACCCCTCGGTAATCAGAATACTTGATTAACGTCAACAGGTTATCACCCAAATACTCAAATACCATGCAAACATGCTGCCCATTTGGTCCGGAGTGTTTAAAATGATCCAATAGCTTCACGACACTTTTTTGGTCATCTGGATCCCCCTCAGCTATCTGCTTCAATATTGTGATTTCATCCATTGCTGCCTCAGTGTAGTGTTGAGCACTCTTTTGAACTTTTAAAGCTACATATCTCTATAAACCAAATTCAAGCTGTTGTTTTAGTTCCTTCACTTGTAACCTCAAATGATCAAAAAATAACACAAACGGGTAATAATTTACAGCAATGCAAACTTATGCGTTTAATTCATAAGAACAGATAGCCTGCAAACTAAAATTGACCTGCCTTTTGTCCAATACAACTAAACAGGCGCACATACTGAAATCATTATTTAGTTATTGAACCAGTCCTCGAACAACTAAGTTGTGTCAAATCAAATAGTTATCTATAAAATGTTACTCCATTTATAATGTTTGTTGTAATTGACAAGCTTGAAGATCTCTTGCCATTGCGCACTAAATAGGACTGTTACGTAAACAAGCAAGTCTTGTGAAGTGAAATCTAGTCGAGTTGAGGGAAGGAGGGAGTACTATTTGAATAAAACATAAATCTCGTCAACCATCTACAAAAACACGGATATACAACTGATGGAAAATCCGGTATGGAGAGAAAAGCAGAAAAACATACAGATTTCTGAGTGTCCCAAGCGAGCCAAACGGTGGAAAAATGACCCCAACCAAGCTTGCTCTGAACAATATATCTAGAATGCTTAAATTTATCACCAATACGAACAGCATGATAACCTCCACGCCTGTAATCCTCTGTCCCTTCGTCCTCGGATGTGTAATCACTTGTCTCACTCCGATCATCTCCAGTGCCGCCGTTTCTTCTGCTATTATCTTCCGCCATTGAACAGAATACAACTGCGCGACTAGGAGCTCGAAAAGGAATGGAGTGCGATCGATCTGGAATTGGAACCCTAAAATGAAGAGAGCATCCCGAACCTCGATACTCTAGGGTTTCTACTTGCTCTGGTTTTTCTTTTTGTTCTCGTATAGACAAAAGTTAAAATATCTTTTTTTCCTCTAATTATTAAAAATATCTTTTTTTTTCCTGAACTATTTAAAATATCTTTTCAAGCAAATTGTAAATTAAAAATAATTTTTGTTTAAAAGATATAATAATAATTTATGATGATGGAGTGAGGTAGACGTAAAATGGACAAATTGTTATCAGATCAAAATTAATAATTAGGATAGATTCGAGTTTCATTAATATTCATTTTAAAATTTTATGTGTAATTAACGTGGTATATATGATTATGAAAATATATTGTATTGTTGTATTTGACAATAATAATCCGAGTCTCAATCATAATGATGGTGTCTGATTGGTTTGAACTTGACTCTAAATGTCAAAAGTACCTCTAGGTTCAAAGCTAAGGAGAAATAAAAATTCTCTTGTGGCCATGAAGGTTCAAATATGGTGACTCTGGGCTATCTTCAAAGCAGGTGGTCACTCTGGAATTAGTCAGTTCGCATAGCATATTGGATATCCAGATTAATAAAAAAAATCCGAGTCACATCATTACAAATGATGGTATGTTTAATAAAATAAGTTGGATTTGATTTCTCCGAACGGATTAGATTTATTTTAATTTTAAATTCATTATAATTTCATGATTGGTTTGTTGAATTGTTCAAAATTGAAATCCTACAAACATAGAATTTTGAAATCCTTAGAGGTGTTCAGGATTTCGTAGAATTATATGCAATATGATCTTAAAAAATATTAAAAACATTTGTTTTACAATAATCAAAAAATAAAAATATAATCTAATTTTTTATATAAATTATTTATAAATAATGGAATCTAATTTCATTACAAATCCTACAAACTAACTACACCGATATTTTAAATCCTCCTAAATCCAAATCTCTCAAAAATAATCTTACACACCAAACATAACCTAAAGGATTTATTTGGTTTGTATAGATCACATTATATAAGAGTTATCAAATGGCCTTTGGTCTAGCGGTATTGTAGCCCTTGACTTTCTAAGAGGTCAGGGGTTCAAACCTCACTATAGGTGAGGAGGATGTGTGAGTTTATTTGTTGTATTTGCCGTATATAAATATTATATACTTCAAAAAAAAATTATGCGAAGCATGTTGTATTAAAAGTTTTGATATATTTAATTTTTGTACGACAATTCTCTGATATTGATAAAAAAAGGTTATTAATTTTATATCTATATTAATCTTTCAATTATTGTCTTATGTTAATATGTAAATTGCATGAAAATGTAACATACTTTGTTTTCATAAAAAATATGTTTTGATATTTATTTCATATTTTAAAAATACATACCAGTAGCCACATCATCAAATAATGTTGATTTTTATGTCACGTTAGCATAGTAACTGGTTATGGTTAAACGGTAATCCAGATATTTAAATATTTGATACTTTTCATTTTTTTTTTTTTTGAAAGGCAAAAAGGAAGGACAAGGAAGAGAGCTTCGGCATGGCCATCACCCTCACCAAGCCAACCAATAGGATAAAAAAGAACAGGTCCAGCAAGAAGCTAGACACAAACAGATACAAGAGTCCAATACAACGAAAAGAAAATAAGGAAACAAGGCCAGAAAATGTCCCCAAAACGAGGCCCAAACCAAAAAACAAACAAACCAAATACAAACCAAGAGACTAAACAAGGTAAGGAGAAGAGGTCCAACTATCCCAATTAATAATGAATTTACGATTCCTAGTCACCATCCATAGCTTGGATAAATTTTGAACCCAAGGAAATGGGTCTTCACCTTTCTTCTTAATTTTCGCGTCATCCTCAGCATGAAAAATTTCATTTCGCCACTTCCATAGTTGCCAAAGTGCCACAGCGCAAACAGATAAGAACATCGCTCCAACCATTCGATGATTGCCTACTTGCTTGATAAGAAATTTGAAATCAGACATCAAAGATAGACGCGGGGCTTTAAGATCCCACCAAGCCCATATTTTCCTCCAAATAGTGTTTGCCGCCGAACAAGAGAAGAAACAATGATCCATTGTTTCTACATCTTTACCACAAAGAATGCACTCCAAGGATTGTAAAGAAATACCCCTTTTTGAAAGATTAAATTTTACCGGGATAGCCTCTTTAAGGAATCGCCAAATGAAAATGTTAACTTTTTTTGGAATTAGAGGGCTCCAAAAGCATGTATCATTGCTTTCAGCGTTTGTATTGGTCTTCCCTTGAATTAACTTTGACAAGAAATTGACCGAGAAAATTCTCGTCTTGTCTCAATTCTAAGACCACACATCCTCACCTGAAGTATTGAACGCCATTTGAGAGAGATGCCTTTCTAAAGCATGAAGATCATCTAATGTTCTGCCCCTAATCGTAGATCTCCAATCCCAAGTACCACTCCAAGAATCATTAAAAAACATTCATCTTTCTTTGAAAGAAGCATTTTTATTTCTTTCCAAAGCATAAAGTCTAGGATAAAGGTCTTTCAACATTGAGCCATGACCGATGTTAGCATCCTTCAAAAAAGAAGAAGAAGAATCTTTAGCAACCTTTTTTGAAAATGATTGAATAACATTCTGACCAGCAACTTCCACATTCTTGCACGTGTTGACAATCGAAACCCAAACACTATTACCAACCAAAGGTCTATTAGAAAAGAGACCACCGTCCTCACTATAAAATTCAGAAATGACATCCTTCCATAACACATTAGAACTAGACAGGAATCTCCAAACCCATTTTGCTAACAAAGCATGATTTTTAGCTTTTAAACTAAAAATTCCCAAACCACCATTAGACTTAGAGCTTAAAATTTTCTCCCAAGCAACCCAATGTAATTTTCTTTTTTCCTCCTCCTTAAATCCCCAAAAAAATCTTCTTCCCATAGCTTCCAAAGATTTTAAAACAGAGTTGGGTGCTTTGAAAAGAGAAAAGTAGAACAACGGGAGAGAAGATAACACCGATTGGACCAGAGTAAATCTTCCACCTATGGAGAGGCAATGAGACTTCCAAATAGAAAGTTTTTTAAGAAATTTATCTTCCACGACAGACCAATAGGCTTTTTTCTTCATGTTACCACCAACAGGAAGCCCCAGATAAATGAGAGGAAATGAGGAGACCTTACACTTTAACATGGCAGCCATGCTGTTAACCTCCGGTTCCGAAACTCCAATACCAAAGAGATTGCATTTAGATAAATTTATGTGCAGACCTGAAACATCATGAAAGCAATTGCATTTAGATACTTTTCATATTAGATATCAAAATTATGGTTTTGAGAATATATTATCCAAAATAGAAATAAGAACAAATTATGTTACATTTTGCATATAGCTTGTTCTATTTTAATCAATTAAATTAACTTAGTGAGTAAAATAGTAAATGAGATAGTGTCATCATATACATGTCTAGAAGCCAATTAAACATTTTGTACCTAACTATTTGTTATATGTCGAGTTATTTTTGTTGATATGATATATATGATTGTAAATCCGGACCCAATATGTTTAGTTGGTTGGATTCCATGATTTCACAACAAATTAATCAACTTGAATGTTGGATACAAAATAAAAGTAATTTAAGTAAATAAATATTAATAGTAAATTACGAATTTCGTCCTTATGGTTCTATGTAAATCATCATATGGTTTGTCTTTTGTTATGGATTGCGTCCTTCACCCTAACTTCCTTAAACCCATTGCCGTTAAATTCCCTCACGTGCCCTTCATATAAAAAACATTTATTAAAAAACATGTTCTTTCGTCTATGAAAAACTCTTCCAAACAAAAACTTTCATAATATATACAGACAATTTATCCATACATGACTTGATATGAAACCAACCAACCAACTCCTAAGATGTTGGTGTGAAAGAGATATACAAATCCTAAAGTATAGCCACATAGATCCATCCCAATAATCGATGTGGAAGAAAACAGATTGAAGAACAGTTCAACAAATAATAAAATAGCAAACCAAGAATACGAAATGCAAGCATAAAATGAGAAAAAAGAAAATAAAGAGCAAGACAACATCAGCAGAAACGATGTCAACTTGTATTTCTTTATATATACAAGTACATTAAATATGTATATATTGTCATATTGTGTACATGTACAAACAGATGATGTTTACAACAACAAGACTTTGTTCCATCTTGTGCAATTGACACAAGGCTCAACCATTTTAACAAGTATTAATGTCACAAATTAAACTCCATAACCACTACTGTCTTGTGTTCCTTCCAACTCTGAGAAAGATTGAAATCTGTAACTTCTAATCTGAATGGTTGGTTTAAATGAAAAAAGAACTGGAGAAAAAGAATGGGAATTCTTTATAAATTCCTACAACGAAAATATCACTGCAAGAATAAAGATTGGAATCAGCTTGTAACGACTAATCTGCAATGAACTGCTGCCGCCAATCTGACCAGCATTTACGACTTCACTTCTGCCACCGCTCGAGGTGGAAGAGACGTTTACAGACGAAGAACCTAAGAACATGATTTTACCCACAATCAGAATATGTGATGAAACAATATTATTTTTGTTTCGGAGAGTTTTCATAGATGGAAGGAGCATGTTTTCTAAAGGGGAGGGGAAAGTTAACAATATGATTGGCTTTCTGCGTAAAGCTCTCCCCTGAAAACTTATTGAATAAGTCACATCTTATATCATTAAGTCACTATCAAACAGTCATATTTAAGTTGCGACTTGCGAGTCCTTTTAAGCTCATTAAACTGCTAACAAACAGACCTTTTGTCTAATATGTGACAAAAAAGTGCAATCGTGGTCTCGACCAATGGTAACAAAGGTGATATCTTTTAGCCATCAGTTGCAAAGCAGAAATTTCTAAAAAGATCATCATTATCCTTTACATTGTATTGCAGAAAATAGTCAAACAGTGATGGGAACTTACAGTCATAATTCACCCATCCGATTCGCTGACGACCCAAATCATAAACGACAATCTTGTCTTTTAGAACAAGGTCTGCATCAAGTGAAAACAAAGATGAACATGAGTGAAAAATGATCAGAAATGGTGTCTTTTTAGCATGTCATAGCTCTGTTCAAAGGGGCTTTCATGATTATACCTCCTAAGATAGTAATTCCTTGATTTTGAATTGTCTGAAAGCCAATGCACCACACCTCGGCCCCACCCTACAAAGACAAGTGTGATCAAATAAGCGAAGAAAGATTCAAGTCGATAAGAAAAAAAGATAACTTATTTTAAATCAATTAACATAATGTCATATGACATACCACGGAATTCTGCTGAAGAAGGTAGTCCTGAGGCTTTAAAATCATTGAAGCACCACCAGCAAAGTTCAAGCTTACCGTTGGAAATATGTTAGAGACGCTGAAATGACATTAAAAATCTTTTTTATCACATTAATGAAAACATAAGACCAATTCCCCGTTGGAGTATGAAATTGTTGGGCAAGGAAGATAACCTTGAAGTAATTAGATAACACCGATTTCCCTTTGAAATAAGTGGCTGTACAGACTGTGAAACCGACTGTGTGATCTGCAGCAATATAAGTGATACCAACATTTAGATAAGCAGAAATCATTTGACCATTAGTCAAATATCTAAAAGATCCGAAGGTAATGAAAAAAAGAAGGAATTTTTTGTCTACAAAATTAATGTCATCAGGTTTTTGTAACCAGTATTAAAACACTAAAGAAAATCCCATAAAACTATTGACAAAATAGAAATTTCAGATAGAAACAATGTACTTGTTCTCAAAGCAACTCCAACGTTTGGCTCATCGAGTAGTTCAATGGAAGTGTTCAAATATTAGTCAAATATCTAAAATATCCTCAATAATGAGGAATCTTATTAAAAGCAATGCTAGGCAATATTTTGCAATGAATATGAACATTCAAAGATGTACTCCCCCGTCCCAAAAAGAAATTCATAATGAAAAAGACACACGGTTTTAGAAATGTTTAATTATTACACTTTTTAATTAACTAAATAACAATTTTACCCTTAGTAAGAGAGGGAGGTAACGAATTTCTACATCTCATAATGAAGGGTAGAACTGGAAAGTAGGCACTTATTTCTGAAAGTGGACACTTATTTTGAGACAGACTAAAATAGAAATGTGGACAATTATTTTGGGAAGGATGGAGTAATATTGTATTGGAACTTTGCCAAAAATAAAAATGTTGCATTTTTTAGACGGATGTAGTAATAAAAAAATTATAAAAGCTTGAACTATTGTACTTACAGCCTCCACAAAAGGGTTGTAAGCCTCTTCAGCAAGGTATGCCAGAGTTGTTCCTGAATCAATTATGGTTCCTCCTTGGTTGTCCGATATTGCAAACATTGATGGATCAATGGCTAATGTTTGGCCGTTGACAGAAATACTCTGTAAATTTATGTTATAATGTGGCCTGAAAATGTGCATGGACAGAAGTCAGAGTTAGTGTGCCTATAAGGAACATATGTCAAAGCATAGCATACTTCATGAACGTAAAGTAAAAAATAAGAGGAAAAAAATGTATGAACAAATGCATTTTGGATGTGATCACCCCAAATGCATATCTAGGATCTCCATCCCAGAACAAGTGTCTACTTTCCAATTATACCCTTAACTACGAACCAGATGGAGAAATTCATTACTCCATCTAATATTAAGGGTAAAACTGTCATTTAGTTAATTAAAAAGTGTAATAATTGCACATTCTAAAACTTTGTTGCTTTTCATTGTGAACGTTTATTTTGGTTCAAAGAGAGTAGTTTACAACCGATAGTCTACCTTCATGCTCACATATTTGTAATAATTTTATGCCTGAATAAGTGTAAGATTTCACATAGTTCTTTAAGCATTCGCTTATCTATTTTCCTATTAATGCATACTCATATACTCTGCTTATTTCTATTGTATCTTCCTTTGTTCGTTTTCCATTAGGGACCTGCTCTTATCTCTACTTCTTTTTGCTTCTTAGTTTTTTTCTCAATAATTCTAGAGTTATTCTTATGTGTTTGTAGGATATCACATTAAAAACAGAGTTTGATCCATAAATTCTTTCGGTATAAATATAACTACTATAGACACTCTTTCTTTCATATATAGATGCATCAACTGCACCCGGAGTTTACTTTTGTTAAGATGCCAGACCTAATGACCTTAAGTTTCGATGGAAGATAATTGGAATGATTGAATTACAGCAGCCATTTAACATTACGACATGAACATTTTAGATATCCACTTAAAAAAAAATTCAACCATAAACCGCTCACTGTATAAAAATTAGCAATCAAGTTATAGTTCCGTACTCAATATTATCTAGGAAAGATGGTCCAAGATGTACAGCATATATCAGAAATAAGATACCAGACTATTCAATGAAAAAAAAAACTTTATTCTAACCGAAAGAAGACTTACTGTGATTCGACAAGTGGAGTATAGACCATATTTGGCTCCACTATTTGACCAATAACCAAGATACCACCTCCGCTGTCACTTCCAACAAGACAATGAGAGAATGAATCAGGAGCGATCCCTTGTGAAGAAAGTTGTGCAATTATGGACAAACCCTGCTGACCAAATCCAAAGATCCCATCAACTGCTCTATCAGATTTAGTCAAGTCTCCTGTTTGAGATGTGCTACATCTGTTGCATATCTCAATAAATCAACAACGTTTCCATGAAAAAGAAGAAAACGTAAAAAAGGCGCAGACTTGGTGATAACTCACCCGAACACAACATTGGCTGAAGAATTTGTTGCTCCTGGATCGACACCGATTGTGTTCAAATGCATCAAGTCAGATACATAATAACCAGATGTCCCACTACCATCTCCATATTGGAATTTGTAGCTGCACTGATTATTTGAATGGGAACAAGCAGAATCAGAAGATTGACTGGCTAGAGAACATCGTTCATCTGAACAAGAGATCAAAGAAGCTGTTGATGAGCTGGAAGGGTCATAGAACTCAATCGGAATCTGTTAGAAAAAAACATAACAAAGAAACTTAGTATCACTAATTTAGTAGTTCCTTTAGTTCACAATATCAAGAAGAGCACTTATCAGAAACTATAAACGTACTTGGAGTCCGCTTGATGTAGGGCAGCCATTGCATGAGCTGCAACTGACCCACAATACATCACTTCCGGTGTCGATTTGTACATAATATTCCTTTGGAGGAGATCCCAATTGAACTTTTGTATAATAAAGCCTATAAAGATAATCGAAATCCGAATATATAAATCTTATAAGGGGGAAAAAAGAAAACAACAAATAACATAATATCCAGTAACTGAAACAACTCTGTAGCAATTAGCAAACTACTAGATTCTTAAATTCCTAAACCTAATTCTAGAATCAAACCCAAGGTCTTATGCCCAAACATAGGACAAGCACAGCCACCCAAATAACCTACAAACATATAAAACCATCTTCAAAAGTTATTGGTAGCCCATGGCTAAATTCACAATTATGTAGGACAAGATGTTACTTTAAGAGATATAATGTAATAGAAAGGTTGCGTTGTAAAGAGAACTTGAAAACACAAGCAATCAAAGCAAGAATCTGTTCCTTCTGTTTTCCATTTGGGGAAACTATTGGTTATCAAAAGAACAATTTAAAACAACCAAATCAACTTCCAGCAATCCATTTTGAAGATTTTAATAATAACTAATATAGTTTATTTGGTTCAAATGGTAATTATTCTCTAAATCAATTAAAATTACAGAAGAAATAAATAAACAAAATCATAGAAGTTCAATTACCCAACACGATAAGGATCATAAGTGCCTTCCACCGGGAAATCAACAACGCCTCCTGGAGGCGACTGCTGCTGTAAAATTCTACGGTGCCTCAAACTATCTCTATCTCTAAGTTGACTCAACTCAATCCGATGGTTCACCGGAAAAGCTCTTTCCAGCGTAAGGGTCGCCGGAAACCCACAGAGAACAACCGCCGCTTGCAACAACACGAAGACCACGGCCCCCGCCAATGTCAAAGTCACCGGATTTCTGGCAAGAAAAGAAACCGGCATTCCTTATCTCTCCTCTCTCTCTTCCCCTTTTATCAGACCAATAATTCTACCAATCAACTGTAAAGCACACACACATGAATTTTATAGGTTGCTTGTACACAGATTCCGTTCCCGTTTGTACGATTTCAGGAAAAAACAGAACAGATTAAAAGGGGCAGAAATCAAGGAGGGGTTGATTTTGCGCTGGAGATGGAAGAGAGAAATTTGAAAAACTGGATTACGCTGGAATTTCGGCCGAATAAATAACTTAATCAGCCTATCAATAAATACCCCATTGTTGTCAGGGTTCTAATAATTGTTTTTTGAAATCACAAAAGTGGTCCCTCACCTATGCTTAAACTTACAATTTTAGAACAAAAGTATAACTTATTGCTCGTTTAATGTTAAAAACGGATGTTTAGTTCACGGTCCAACTTTCTTAAAGTAAATTTGAAAATACAATTCAATTAAATCCTTCAAATACTACTTGCATTCACTAATGTAAGACCAGACCAATAGTATGTTGTTAATTTTAGTGTCATCAGTCATTTGGCGTAATATTGTGATTTACATAGATTGACTAAAGTGATAAAGGCAAACATAAGTGGGTTAATGGTGTGGAATATACACTCATAAATGTTGTCTCTATTACCTTATATCGCCATAAGATAGGGATCAAAGGGGGTCATGCCCCCTCTCAAAGTTAGTGAAATTTCACTAAGTGTAGGTATGAGATAGCATAATCAGGATTTGATTATAGTTATGATTATCGCTAGAAAAAACTAAGCCTGAATCATAATTATAACAATCAGAGATCGGAATAATGGAACCAAAGATCTGGTCCATTGAATCAGGTCTCTGATTCGAACAAATTTGACCAAGTCTTATATAGTGCAATCAGAGTTACTTGGAGTTGGAGTTTTAGTACTTGAATCCATATTTCGGATATTATCCCTAGTTCTAATCTAATTGCTCACAATTTTTATCAGTTAATAGTTATAATTGTTATACAGTTATATATTAACCATTTAACCATCTGTAACCATGGATCTCTCATATAAACATGTAAACAATAATTTAGGTATATACAAGAACTCAATCTCATAGCCTTTGAGATCAAGAGAGTTTTTTTTTGGATTATCCCAATAAAAAATTCGTGTTATCAAAGGCTATAAAGGAAAAATTATTGTATTTGAACAAAGTATTTACATGATCCAAATAGATTACCCAGTCTGCCATTGCCAATTATATCCAAATTTCTATAGGCGAAGGATCATGTAAGAAGTGGAGTTAGGATGAGAAGTATAAGAAAAAATTTGGACTTTTGATCACTTTTAATTTCAAATCCACACATGAATCGCTCTTTATACGGGGATTGATTTGGTATATTTTGGTGCATCTCATCCTAATACACATCTATAACTGGAGATCATTTCTTACACTTTTCAATCTAACTCTCTTTCTCATCGGAACCCAACTCGATCCCTACATCTAACACAGTGTCCTTTGAAACAAGAAAGGGGACATTTTTTACAATGTATCAAAGTAAAGGGACTGTAAACATCATCATTAAATTTCAAAGGAGTCCTTTGTAAAAACAATGTGCCCATCATCATATGCGTGTACCCACGTCCCACTCCCTTTTCCTCCATCTGGACGCACACCTATTCGCCCTTTCGATTTGACCGAATGCCGAACACTGCATTAAAAACTTGTACCGTATGCATAATCTATTGTACTCTACTAGATGCGGAAAATCCTTTCGCAATTTCCTCCTTCCGAGTTTTGACTTGGTAAAAAAATTTGTTTAATACGACTTCATTATTTTATTAGGTCAATGAGTTTTAAGCAAATTAGGTAAACTAATAATACAATAATTAATTACAGAATTTAATTCGAGGTTATTTTGATAATTTAAGTTTCTAATTATAATTTAATATTATTATTTTTATGGACGGTAAAGTTAACAATCAGATAAATCCTTTAATACTCTCAATATGACTTAAATCGATGATTTTTTTGTGAACAAACTAACATCTTACCAATTGAACCAAGGACCCTTTTATGAAACGTTTATCCGATAAGAGTCATCACCTTCACTTACCTTATTAAATAACATTCTTGTTCATTAAAATGAATTGTTAATAAACTTATTTTACCTAGTAAGCACTTATGAGGTAAGAGTTTTTTCCAGTCACTTACCTTGTTGGATGACATTCAGTCTTTTCAATACTCACTTGATAAGATAAGTAACATTCGATAATCACCCAACTAATAAATGTTTAGTAAAAGACTTCTAAATCAAGAATTTTTGTAAATCATAATTATGGTATATTTTATTTTTAACTATTGACTTATTTTTCTTGTAAACCTATTACAATGATTTATGTAACTTTACTTAGCATGGTGGGTTGTCCCCACAAAATAAGGTGAATATGAGTCCAATACCAACATTCATTTTACATAATTGCCTCATATAATAATCAACAACTTTATAGAATGCACTTGGAACTTCAATCTTATTCCTTTTTTTTGGCTATTTTTTTTTATCCACTTTTTTATTTCTTTTATTCATAAAAACTTGTTATAACAGCATAGTTCATTTACTGAGAAAAAAAAACTCCCATTCATACTTCATAAATTCAAGTACGAGTCCTCGAGACATCAAGTTGAAAACCATATTGACCGTCTTGATCAACTGTGGGTAATTTGTATTTATTTTAATTAAATAATTTTAACATAAAAAAGTAAGATCACCTCAATCAAAATATATTATTTAAAATCCTCTTTCAAATTAATTATATAAGCATGAAAGCTTATCCACATATTTTAAAAAAACACAAAAAGATACGGTATAAGATAACCAAATTCTTATAATATTATATATTTGATGTTAATTATATATATATATATATATATAATTTTAATACTGTTGATCATTCCAGTGATTATATATTGTGCTAAAATTGTATATGTTGTTGATAATTCAATTATTATTGTAGTATTAAATATGATATATCCACTTAAAGCTATATTTTATATGAAGACATTCAATTTCAAAGTCATCAACCTATAATTTTTGTTAAAGAGATTCACATATCCAATGAATAGGAAAGTTTGAAAGGGATTTGGAATACAATGATGAAGTACACATTTTTATCTGGTGACTATGCACTTTGCCAAAAAGCAAAGTGCCCAAATGTTGTCACAACTCTTTAACTTTATTTGGTGGATTGTCTTTTGGGAAAACAAATAATTTTATTTTTAAATTATTCTATTAAATAATATTTTGTTGAAATGAAGATATAGACATTATTCATTCCATAGGTTTCTCATTGTTAGACATATGTTTTTTTATGTAACTAATCATAAAAAATCTCTTTAAATATTGTTTGGGAAAAAGAAACTAGCTTATTTTATGGGTACATATTTAAATGTTCATAAGCTAATTTATTGAAACGTTACTTGGAGTAACATTTTGATAATTTATTGTCACTTTTTTAATTATAACTTTCATTAATATTAATTATTATTTATTACTATTAGTAATATATAAATATTACTAATATTAATCGATATGAATTAATTATTAGTCACTACAAAAGTACTCGCGCAATGCAGCGAGACATATCTCGATTTTAATGTTCTATTTTATTATTTGTATTTGTCGATGTTATAATACGATTTTATGTGTTTTTAAGAAAACAATAATGATTTTATTTTTGAATAAAATATAAATTTAAAGATATTGTAAAAATTTGAAAAAACAAAAATATATAAATGTTAATATCAAATCAATTATTTAAAAGTTCT